ATTTCTTTTGTGAGTTCCCATGGAATATGGAACATTATTTGTAATGCCTAAAAGTGCTACGGGGACGAGTTCTGGGCGGACAAATTTTGCTGTAACTGAATGAGACGTGGACTCAGCTACGGCGAGCGGCGCCGTGGCCTGATGATGAATGTCTCGCTCTGTACTAATATTAAATGAAAAATACATGCATATTCTTCGATTGTGACTGGCGAATTGCCAAAGAAAATTAAGTTTTGCTTTCCACATTCAGTTGTACTGGAAATGGCTTCATTTTCACTAATCCCAATCGGATCGACAGAAACATCAGGTTCCATGCCTTCAACTGTGTCAACTTCAATTTCAGCAGCAACAGCGTCACGAAGTACAGCGGCAAGTTTCTTCTCTTCGCGAGTTGCAAACCGTTTTTTTCCGGCGTTCCGGATTCACCAGAAAGCATAGCGACTACCCTTTGCCAAAGAAAAGGAACAATGGGTAATGAATACAAATCGGTAACACTGATCCAAATGATCCAGTTTGGCGACAACTCGAAGTATCAAAATTTGAAACAAAAGTTCTCATCGGAGAAAGAGCAACTCCAGCGTTCGTGACCCAAACTTTCAAACACGCTACAACTTTCAGAGCGAGACACGCACATACGTAGACCACGCCGCCGCAGCTGACAATGAGTCACAGCCTCTCATACGACAATATTGCGGTCACAGCAAATTTTGACCACCCAGAGCTCGTCCGGGAAGTTCCCGTAGCACCTTTAGTCAGCGCATTCGCCACCACAATTCTAATACTCTACTGATGTATCTGTCTAAGGTTTCGTGAGAGTTTACAAGGGAAACGCGTTCCCTTATAAGTTGGCGGCTTCGCACCAGATATAACGCGATGAAATGTCAAATCGAGTTTTTCACATTTTGATGGATGCAACGTTGTACAGACATAACAAAGAGTGGAAACTTATACGGTTTTGAAAACCCGAAGACTTTAGTTTTTTCAAAAGCACAGCAGCTTATTTAGCTGTGATGGAGCGAAAATCCCCACCGCGGATTTTGCTCGGGAGGTTTGCTTCATCTGAAGTAAAGGATCTCCCACTTTACAGTTCATAATCCCATCCAGGTCCCCGGATTAATTTCAATACACCTCATCCTACTAGAGATAACTGGAAACGGAGCTTGCCATCGGAGGCGCGGATAAACTTATCTATGAAATCGACGCACTCGTCTTTCAAGGAGAACTGCAGGGACGTAGAAATATGACCTATGGAATGCGTACATAATATGGAAAAAGGGGTTCTCGCTATATTCAGAGAAACTGACCTGCGCAGTATTGTAGTTTCATTCACAGTGATTTTATGCAATGGCATCATGAGTTCCAAACATGAATGTTTGGAACTTCCTTGCCTGATTGAGCACCTCATGGGTGCTATCGCTTCACAATGCAGGTAGGCGCGATACAAAGTTGGACATCTTCTCAATCTTACAAGGGAGGTCGTTCAGGGCGTGGTGAGCTTTTTCAAAATGGTCTTGTGCATATTGTAGGGGCACATACGAGGACCAGAAAACTGAGGTCATTTTCGCTGCGCGCTTCTACGAATAAAAAAACGTAAAAAATAGGTCGATGGTTCGGATCCCACCGAGGACAAAATTTTGCTTTTCTACAATTTTTCATTTTTTGGATCCATGTTTGTCTAAATAATTGGTCCTAACAAAAACAATCCTACTTTTATGGAGCAAAACTGCTTTTTCGTTCGAATTCGTTAGTATGCACAGACTCAGCTCTTCGGCGCTATGCCGGTGCCAGATGGCACTGGAACCGAAAATAAAGTCTAGAATCGTGATCAGGACTGTCGATTACCCCTAGGAGCAAGTTTTGAGCGAAAAATTTTTTTTGACTTTTTCGGGTTGTAGGTGGCCGACCATTTGGTCGGCAGTGTGAGCGGAGTCTCACATCTTCGTAACAGCGATGACGTATCGTTGACGCTACGGACCCCGGACAACCCAATAAGCAAACCCAAGAAGGTCAAAACAATTGTTTTGACTGAAAATTCGTTTTTAGTGGTAATCAGTGGCCCTGATCACAAATATAACACCTATTCTTGGCGTCCACGCAATTTGGCGACAGAATAGCGCTGAACGTTCCCTACATGGGTGTACATAACGAATTCAGTGGAAAGAAGATGTGGCCCCAAATTGTCTATAATTGACACCACACCAGAAGTTATTCGCAATCAGATCCACTGTATAGCCTATGAGGAACAACGTCCAGCAACAATCTTGTTCAATGGTGCGTGAAATCGAAATAGTTGAATAGCACTGACTCGGGGCCACATCTTCTTCGCTATGTACACCAATATAGGGAACGTTCAGCGCTATTCTGTCGCCAAATTGCGTGGACGCCAAGAATAGGTGTTATATTTGTGATCAGGGCCACTGATTACCACTAAAAACGAATTTTCGGTCAAAACAATTGTTTTGACCTTCTTGGGTTTGCTTATTGGGTTGTCCGGGGTCCGTAGCGTCAACGATACGTCATCGCTGTTACGAAGATGTGAGACTCCGCTCACACTGCCGACCAAATGGTCGGCCACCTACAACCCGAAAAAAAATTTTTCGCTCAAAACTTGCTCCTAGGGGTAATCGACAGTCCTGATCACGATTCTAGACTTTATTTTCGGCACCGGCATAGCGCCGAAGAGCTGAGTCTGTGCATACTAACGAATTCGAACGAAAAAGCAGTTTTGCTCCATAAAAGTAGGATTGTTTTTGTTAGGACCAATTATTTAGACAAACATGGATCCAAAAAATGAAAAATTGTAGAAAAGCAAAATTTTGTCCTCGGTGGGATCCGAACCATCGACCTATTTTTTACGTTTTTTATTCGTAGAAGCGCGCAGCGAAAATGAACCTCAGTTTTCTGGTCCTCGTATGTGCCCCTACAATATGCACAAGACCATTTTGAAAAAGCTCACCACGCCCTGAACGACCTCCCTTGTAAGATTGAGAAGATGTCCAACTTTGTATCGCGCCTACCTGCATTGTGAAGCGATAGCACCCATGAGGTGCTCAATCAGGAAAGGACCCCGCAAACATTCATGTTTGGAACTCATGATGCCATTGCATAAAATCACTGTGAATGAAACTACTCTACCAGCGACCAGCAGCGCCCGGAAGTGGAGAGTAAGGGACGATAGGGGGGGGGGGTAACAGCTGTCTGTTATCCTCATATCTCCTCACTCTCTACCAGCTGTCTGTCCTGATGGTAGCTGCTTGACGCTGGCAAACGTCAAAGTGATATTAATACCAGCCCTCGAGACGCTGCTGGACGCTGGTGGACGCTGGCAGACGCTGGTAGACGCTGGCAGACGCTAGATCGATATCTATACTTTCCTAGTCGCTGACGCTGCCGGACGCTCACAACGCTGATGGACGCTACTGGTCAGTGATGGACGCTGCCAAAGGTTTGAACAAGGCTGTAGCGTCACAATTCGCGCCCTTCACCACTGTGATCCACAATGGAATCGCCACATGCCATTCTTCCAAGCCAGTGCAACCATCGCTACCATGAACTGCGATAGCACCTCAAGCCATATCTGGTGGGTGGCTCTATATCCTTGAACGAACAAGTTATAAGGCAAAATCATCCCAATCTCCCCACTCTCATATCAGTGGGCGGCGTAGCCGGGGCAAGCACGAATACAATGCGTTCCTTTTTGACTTTGACCTGTTCCGCTTCAACCTTTTCAGTAGAGTCGTAGTGGGTGCAGAACTGGCAGTGCTTCATTTGAGGAAGTCATGCTCGACTCTGTTCTAGAGGGTTTGATGCGTCGTTCCAGCTTCCTCTCTGAGTGATCCATCGCGTGCAGAACTTCGTCAGCACATTCCAAGAGAAGAGAACTTGGCTACCAAACCACACTAAAGGTCGTT